GAAGTTGCTTTAGATTCTCAGTGCTGTGCTTTAATCCACTGTACCACCAGGGAGAACCGCTTGTTGTCTTTTAAAAAACCCTAACACCAAAGAAGTGACCAGGTACTCCAGCACTTCCTCGCAGGTTCTGCGAGTGAAAAACAAGACAGTGATCTGACCTGTGGGGCATTTGTTAAAGTTTCAGACCATTGTTGATTCAGTGCCCAGATTTTCCACTGTTGAATAATGACTTGTGGAGTATTTCCTCTTAGGCAGAGCGGTTAATTTCCATTATAAATCTACACCAGGCTCTGGGAGTAGCCATGGGATTAGAGGTTGAACACTGATTTTATATTGACAATGTGAAAGAGAAAGTGCTAAGAAACACCGGGTGCTGGCCTGGGGCTGGGTGCCCAGGGGCAAGGTGCTGGAGGCATATGCTCATTTGCTCATGGCTCCCTCCTCTGTCCCTCAGTCACCCCGTTTATTGGCTCCCGTGCCCGGCCCTGTTTGTGACACAGCATCTGGGACACAGACAGGACCAAAACAGACCCACCCCCTCTGGCTAGCAGGCTATTCAGAGGAAACCAGAAAACCCACCTTCTGGATGGACTACATGATGCTCACCGTTTTAAGGAATTTGACCTATTTGGGAGCAAGAGTTTAAAATTTATCTGAAGTCGGCATTTTGTTGAACCAAATAGCAAGTTAGAGGCCATCAAGAATTCATTTTGGCAAGTAATACCATGCTGAGCCTTGCCATTGAGATTTAAAAAAGATACATATATTCATCTTGAAGTACTCAAATTTAGTTGTTTTGGGGAGAGGTACTAGTTATGTTGATTTGAAACATGGAAAGTTCAAGAAAACTTCAGCTCTAACTGCATGTTTCTATCAGCAACAGTGAGATCTGATTTTGAACCCAAAGCCTTTCCCCCAGTCGCATCCAACAAACACTAGCATCTAGATCTTGATTTGAACATGCTGATCAGAGCCCATGTTGCCGTGGTTCGAGAGAGCGCTGGCACGTGCCTTTCGGACTCCCCGGGAAGCGTCTCTGCCCCTGTGGGGGAGCCTGGGCCGGGCACGGGGTGTGCGCCACACCCCCTGAAGGCTAGCACGCCAGGCAGATCCACGCTGGTGTCTCAGTTGCCGCAGAATGCGGCGAATTCAAATGAGAATCCATGCCATGCCTCTGCCCACCTGAGCCCGGGCTCTTGGTATTTAGGAATCATGGGATCCCAGAAATGGGTGCAATCTGAAGTCCTCGGACTGGGCCATTTCTCCTCTTTGCTAGTTTCCACCTTCCAAGTGGCTCTTCCCTCCAGCTCCTCTGCATCATCACCCAGATTCTGTCTGTGCCACCCTCCCACCTACTAGTGGCATTTCAGTGGTGGCACTTGGAAGGGAAAGTGCTGCTACCCCGGGTTTGTGGCACAAGGATGTGGTATGGGGTCCCCGGGCCTTCCGGGGGGTGGCCCCTACGCTTGACCGCCGCCCCCCGAGGGGCAGACCGCAGCTCTCATGCAGGAGGGAGCGCAGTGGCGCGGCCTGGATGCCCTCTAACCTGCTGGAGTGACACCCGTGCCGTTTCTTGGTCCCTTTTTTTCTTACTTTGTCATAATCCCCCCCTCTGTTCTCATAACCAGCTCTTCAACCCTTTGGATGAGGGCGTTTCATGGTTGGGTTCTTCCGACTTTTTATTGGCAGTGACCTCACGTGTTGAATGCAGTTTTACTATGTATACACGCTTTCTCGCTTTTTGCGTATGGATGGGTTTTTAAAATGGGAACAAGATAAGAAACATCATGCTGGGTGCTCCCTGGTGGCACAGCGGGTTACAGCTCAGTACTTCGTTGATCTGCCTGTTCTGCTCCCCACTCTGCCTCTGGTGAAGCCTCTCACCGCCCCTGCACCTCTGGCCTGTACCCCAGCTCTGTATACATAAATAAATCTTTAAAAAAACATCGTACTTAGGTGATCGCCCTCATAGCCCCAAACTCCATTTCTGTGGCTTCAGCTTTCTGCCTTATGTTCTACTTTCATTTATCATTCAAAGAAAATCAGCATCTTTCCCCCCTATGATACAGTCAACAAAACTACCATCGTACGATGGTCGAGACTTTACGTTCTAGTCTGTGTTTGGACGTGTACATGTGGCACGGCAGGTGTGACACGTTTCATGCCGGTGTAGCAGCGATTCCCCCTCTAGAAAGGCAGAGTCTTGCTTTGGGGGGAAGTGAGGCCCCAGAGGCTGTGGTGCAGCTCGAGGAGGCCAAGCTCAGTCCCAGGGGGTGTCTGTGACCAGCAGCGGCCTCGGCGGCGGAGGTTTTCGGGGTCACATTCTGTGCGCGCCGTCCTGTTCACACCCCAGCTCCCCACGTGGGGCGGCCTGGGGCGTGGCGGCCCCGCCTTCACGTCCTCTCCATGCAGGACGCGACCCAGGAGGTGTGCCTTGGGGTGCCCGCGGGCACTGCCAGGAAAGCTGAGGAATTCCTGTCAGGCCTGCAGTCCTCCTGTGAGGTGCCAGCAGTGGAAGCTTGCCGAGGAATATTGCTTCCACTGGGGGAGCCCTGGCAGCAGCTGGCGGGTCACCCCAGTGCTGAGCCGGGTCCTGGCTGGGGTGTCGGTGGGCCCAGGCCACGCGGTGGCAGCATGAGGTTTCTAGCCTGGTAGCAGTGGAAGAGGGAGCTTGTTTTCAGGCCTGTGGAGCGGGCACTGCAGCCAGGCGTCCCGGCCTCCGGCATTTCCTGGCCCGCCTGGGTCGCCAGTGCCCACGGCCCTCAGTACCGCACGGGAAGCTTTGCCACGGCACCCTGTTCTGTCGGTGGCTTATAGACCTGCGTCCTTGCAGCCTGCCCGGAGCCTGATTCCACCCTGGGTCGGCTCCACTGGCCCCCGTGTCCACCTCGGACAGACCTGGGATGTGATCAGTCTTTGCAGACGCCGTCCGGAAATTGCCTGACTGGCAGCGTGTGTCTGGAGCGGGATGGCCTCTGTTCAGAGTTTTGCAGAAACCTCAGGATGGTGTTTAGGGACTCTTGGCTCAGATGGGGTGTCGTTACCAATAGCCGCTGTAGGAAAAGCTTGGCGGGGTGTCAGCACCACCGTGTCTGCTGGAAAGCGGCAGTGCCTGGTGGCCGGAAGCCCGGGTTCTGGTCTCTTCCGGACAGGCTGGATCGTGCCCCCAAGCCTCCCGCCCCTCGGGGTCCTCCTCAGGATGTGTGAACTGAGGTCTTTGCTGGGTTCGTGCTCAGGAGCTGGGTGGGCGCCACCAGGGGGACCCCTGTCCTGGGTCGCGCCCCTTTTCCAGCATCTCCCCTGCAGTGGGTGCACCCAGGGCTGTGGCTTTGGTGTTTATGGATTTCACCGGGGCCAGGGCCGCCCCATGGCTGCTGCTCAGGCCGCTCTCTTGCTGCTTCTGGCGATTGACTCGCTCTCAAGTTCCAGGTCTACCCCCATTGCTCTTCGTGCCCGGCTCACGGCTAGCGTTGTGGGTACATGCGTGTGCTCGCTGGGCCGGAGCCACGCAGAAACGGAGAGATGGCGTGGCCAGGCATCATCTAGTGAGGTCTGCTGTGAGCGTTTCTTGCCACATCCTGAACCCGATGGCCCCCTGGAGCCCCGCCAAGGGAAACATCCGGTGGCCTTCCTTTGGAGGAGGCACGTTTTTGACCCACGCTCCCAAGTGGGCCTGCGCCCTTGAGCTGGCAGGGGGCGTGTTTGGGTCGCACGAACTCCTTTTGCGACGTTGGTTTGGCCTCGAGGCCCACTGCACACTGCTTTTCCACGGTTATTTCTCCTTGGCCTCTCAAGATGTTGGGGGGCTGGGGGTGGGGGCATTGGTTTGCAGTGCAGGAGGGGTGCCCTCTGAAGCAGGTGGCACAGGGCCATCCTGCATCTGCCAGTGAGATTCCTCCAGGGGTCATGACCCAGAAAGCTTGGCAGGGCAGAGCCAGGGGGTCTGCAGCCAGCCCCCAGCTATTTATAATCCCTTCTCTCCTCCCTGCCGCTGTTATTTTTAACCAGACGCCTCTGGTATAGAAGGAGGCCTTGAGCTCCCCCTAGAGGAATGAGTTGCAAATCGCAGTTTTTAAAAGCAAAATTGCTGTTTGGCCAGGGTCTGCGTTAATCTAAGCAAGACCAAAACAAAGATTTTTTTTTTTTTTTAAATGTTCAAGACTGATTTCATGCCTGGACCTTCTGGGACAGGATCTTTAAAGGTAGAACTGGCTGAGCATCTGCTTAGCACACGAGCGAGCCTGAGTCTGCGTGCACGCATTCTTCCTGAAAATAGAAGATATTTCTATACTCCAAGGGTTTCCTGCATAGAACCTAGAATGCTTTCAGAATGAGGACATTTCTGACATGGATTTGGTGGGTGTGGCGTGGGATAGAAATGCTAAGCAACCTCCTCACGTCACTTTCCTTTTCTGTGTTTCAGGGTTTCGAAAAAACGATGACATGAAAGCAATGGATGTTTTGCCAATTTTGAAGGAAAAAGTGGCCTACCTTTCAGGTAAAGCATGGCTTTCCAATCTGCTTTCTTGCTCCTCCGACTGCTCCTGACACAGCTATCAGAGACGGAGACACCAAGCCGGCTCACCTGCCACACAGTGTTAGCACTTCGCTGGAATTTTCACTGCTCGATTCTTAGTGCATTTCCCTGAGAAAGGGGGACCGCCTAGCTGCTGGGTGCACTGTAAGCCAGGTCGCATTGGGGGTGGGAATAGAGTCCATCATTAACATTAACACACCCCTCACCCGTCATCATTAACATTAACACACCCGGCCCCAGTCAATGAAATAAAACAACTGGACCTTAAGTCCATCATCTCAGCAAAGGTGCTGGGACTGTGGCTGCGTGCAGATGCATGCTGGTCTGCTCCCCGCTGTTCCTTGCACCCCCAGAGCCCATGATGTGGAGGCTGAGAGCCCCATGAGCTCTCCTGCAGACCCTGCCCTCCCGTGGCAAGGGGGTCAGATCCTGGGCACTCGGCCTCTCTCTGCCCATGGAGGACACACTCGAGGATTTAGGGGGATGCTATCTCCTCCTGGGCGGGCCCCCCACATGAACAGGATAGCCATTTGGGCCCTGGAGGCTGTGCCTCTTTAGCCCAGAGACATGTGTTCCTCATCCGGGGTCATGGGCTTTCCGAAGGCCACGTGCTTGTCCCCCAAGTGTGTGTGTGTGGCTCAGATGGGGTGGGAGCCCCTCAGAGGCCTCCTCACGGCACATGTCCACTCGGTGACGCTGCACGCTGCTCTTGTGTGATCCGTGTGTCCACAGAGAGCGGAGCGTGTATCTGTAGGCGACCGTACTGTGAGTTCAGCCGTATTTCTGTGGCCCCTACTGAGCTCTGTTGGTTGATTTCACTGATTATCATCCATTTGGGAGGTTCCTGGAAGAGGAAGGCGTTCACAAGAAGACGGTGATTAAAAATGGGGAAAAAACCAACCAACCAACAACTCTTGGCGTATAGTACGCTTTTTAAAAACTAGCTGCACTGCTGCTGGGAATGCAAACTAGTACAACCACTATGGAAAACTGTTCGGAGGTTCCTCATGCTGCTTAACATGGAGCTTCCCCTATGACCCAGCAATCCCACTCCTAGGTCTCTGCCCAAAAGACACAAAAACACTGATTCAAAAAGACACCTGCACCCCCATGTTTATTGCTGCTTTATTTATAATTGGAAAAACATGGAAGCAGCCCAGATGCCCAAAAGTAGATGACTGGATAAAAAAGATGTGGGACATATACACAGTGAAATATTACTCAGCAACCAAAAAAAGGAAACACAACAACATAGATGGAGCTGGAAAAGATCATGCTTAGTGAAATAAGCCAGAAAGAAAAGGAAAAATACCAAATGGTTTCATTCATAGCAGGAGTATAATGGACCAGGCGAGAAACTAATAATAATAATGAACAACTATATATCAGACACATTTTACGGGGGTGGAGTGGGGAATGGGATCAAAAACAGTGGGGGGAGGGAAATGCACTGGACTTTGGTGATGGCACACGGGTGACTGGTGATGGGAAGCCCAAGGGGATTACAACTGAGATGGAAAAATGATGCACAAAATGATGGGAAAATAAGCCATTGAAAAGAAAGAAAAAAAGAAAAGAAAACACTAGCCTTTGCTGCTTCCCCATCATTTACTGGCAAATCACAAAATACGAACTCCTGCCAGTAAATGATGGGGAAGTAGCAAAGGGTAGGTTACAGATGGGATTTCAAGTCTGTGACGACCAAGCCCTGGCTTGCAAATCGGAGCGACTGCCCGCGTGCTCACCAGTTTCCGTCTTGTGCCAGCCAGGCACACCCTTCCAGACAGACCTGAGGGGCACGGAGGGCATCAGGCTTGACTTTCGCCCTGTAGGAAGAGAAGGAGAACAGTCAGAAGTTAAAGACAGACTACTTCTGCGGGTAACCCGTTACAATGACTGTTCACGTAAGATTTTTTTTTCTTCTTAGCTCATTTCCCCCCCTTATTTAAAAGCGAGATACAATTCACACACCATGAAACCGGTCCTTTGCCAGTGTACAGTCAGTGGAAACATCATTAGCTGTTATGGTGCCTTTGTAAAAGTTCTTCATGTGAATGGCTTTTAGTAGCTGGAACCAAAGCGAAATAGTGAGGATTTTCAGAAAGCAAGCCAGAAAGATCAGGGAGTCCATGAAATGCTTGTTAAGTCAAGATCTCTAAAACACCAAGAAAACTCCTTGAACTTGAATGTCTGATCCTCAGTCTATGTCGAGGCGTTCTAAAAAGTTATTCCTGTTGCACTTCAGCAACAAAACCCAACTTCCTCCACTCGAGAGTGAGTTCACTGGAGCTGCGTGACTGGTGAGAGGCGCCGTAAGAGAGGCTGTTGGGGTTTTACCTGGAATACGCTCTGTGTAGTGTGTTTACATGTGGCGTAGATGCGTCCTCCAAGTGTTTCGGGGAGTGCCCACCCCACGGAGTGCTGTGCCCTGGGTCAGGACTTGCAGGGAGCTCACAGACAGGAGACCAGCGTCGAGCACCTCTCCCTTGGCTTTTTATCACGGGACACTTCAGCGTCAGGAAGGTGGGAGAATAGTATAGTGAGTTTCCGCAAACCCATGGCTCAGTGCTATCATTTTGCTTAACCTGTTTCCTTTAAAAGATTTTAAAAGCCCAAGTGCCCTTAACAGAGCTAAAAATGAGTAGTGTCTCTTTGGTGAGAAAAAAGCCAGTGGACGTTCACTTCCCTGCGTGGCTCCCGCTCTTCTCA